TCCATTTTTTAGATAAACTAAAATAGTTAGGATATGGGATAATTATATGTATATAAAAGCTTCCAAACAAACACCTAATATTTTTAGAGTTATTTTAGCAATTAGTGGTATAGACAATTTCAGAATTGTAACTAAGGTTTAGTAGATGCTACGTCCGGTGAAATACAACGGATCATTTTTGAACAGTAATCTACACATAATAACACACACCACCATGTGCATGTATGTGTGTTTAGTAGATACTTATTTATACAAATATATGGTTAAAATTAAATTAAATCACCCGGTGAAATACATCAGGTGTAGCATCTTATGGATCGTGACGAGCACTGCGTCATTAATGAAATATAAAATTAATAAATTTATATATAGTATTTTATTTTGTTAACGTTCGTAAATTGAAGTACATTAACTTTCCTCAACTAAGATGATTTAAATTTTCATTTTTGTCATTATTATTAAGAAAAATAAATAAGGAAAAGCTTGAAATTAAATAGGAAGCAAACAAATATATAGTTGAGTATCATTTTCAAGACAAAGAAACAAGAAAATGGACCCCTCTCCCTCTTCATACATGCACCCACCTCTTTTTCTTTCTTTCTTTTTTTTTTTTAATTAATTTTATTTATTTTTATTTTGGTGTTTGGAAGAACTTTGCGTAGTATTTTTGATAGCTCAAAAATTCAAAATGGTAGACTACCCCAACGTACGTCATAAGTTATATCCATCATTTAATTATCGTCTCTATCCTCTAACAAAAAAAAAATAAATTCTAATATAATATTTTTCTACGAGGGCTAGCTGACCTAATAGGTTGATTCTAAGAGAACGTCTAAGTTATTTAATCGACTTTCGATGTTCTTACCCCTACCTTTTCAGATTGAACTCATCACACATTGTTTATCTAGTATGATTTAAGTTACATCGTGTCTTGTGTAATATGTCAACTATCGTACGTTAATTGATTTTAATATTACTCAATACATTTTGCATCACTGCAAACTCTTTTGTCCACGTCTTAGCTAGGAAAGATGAATTAATTTATCATGAAAGAAATTAACTAAAGTAATATGTTTCGACTCTACTTAGTGTAAAATACCGACATCCACCACAACGTGTCTGAAGTAGTCGAAGGGGTAAAGTTCGCTCGTTAACCTACAAAATAATTACGAACACTAGATGACTCGTTAGATTAACCCAACGATTGCAGCTCGAGGCTCAAGTCAGAAATTGTTTGCAGTGTATAAGCATTCTTTAACTTGCAAAATAGAACTTACCTTGTTACGTGAATAGTAACACTTATATTTAGGTTGGTTTGACGTGTTTTATTTTTAGAAAATCAACGTGGGCAATGTGATGCCAATCCTTAATCTCATAGGATATTGGATTGATATGTCTAATTGGGCGAACCTAATGAGCCTACAATTTATTTATTTACTTGGTCACGAGCCCGATATTGAAAACAACTATCACCGAGCTAGGTCCAATCACCTTCAAATAAAGTTTGGGCCCGACAATCTCAACTAATTAGACTTCAGTCCAATCAATGAGAATAAATAAATGTTTTAATTCATTTCTTAATAAATGTTCAATATTCAAACTATACAACTGCTCGTGTTGGATCTACGACTTTTACTATCCACACACCTGACTTGAGCGTCGGAGGGGTTTCTGCCGGATCAACCCCGACGTAGTTTATGTGTTCTATGATCGCAGGTACCTCAAGGTCATCAAGCTCGTGAGCCAGTGATCCAATTTGATCTTCCAGCTCATCCTATCTCAACTACTTAAAGTGATCTAATTCTAACATCATCATAGATAAATTAGCAACATATAGCAATTAATAAAACGAGCAATTGGACGTATATAATCAGCTGCAAGCTGTTAGTAGTAATGAACGTGTGAGCTAATAAGAATTACTAATATATATATATATACCCACGCATAATCAACACATTTCTTACGCAGAAAACATGATTAATGAAAGTTTAGTGACAATACTTAATTAGGCAATTTGATTAACGAGTAATCACAGCTGAATTAATGACCCATTATAACATATACATTTGCCTCTTCCCAGTTCCCACTAGAGTCAAAATTAAGATGAACCACAAATTAAATTTGGTCAACTCCCAAACGATCACTTAACCTGAAACCCAAGTTTTTGTATGCTTCAAAGGATTAAATAACGCTAACTTTACCATAAAAACTTGTGAACATAAACCATTCCACGTTACTATGAACACATGGACAACTATACTATATTTCTCAAATAATACAACTATACATTGTATATATTTTCTATATATGGTCCCCCAATCAAATGGGATTATTCATATTAATTAATTGATTAATTAATTATTTGTATTTCTACATCTTCCATTTAATTTTGTTCGAGAGTTGAGGCCACGAGGGAACGAGAAAAATTGAGGGTTTTTTTTTTACCAAGTTGGTGTTCGTATAATAGTTTTGACTAGGGCTGGGACTGGGTTGGGTCGGTCGATTACCAGCCTAAAAACCGACCCATCCGTCAAACCATTTTTGCTAAAATTTGAAAACCGTTGCCGACCCAACCTTTGTGGGTCGGTTGATGGTTGACAACCGAATATTTGGTTTCGGAATGGGTCGGTTGATGGTTTATACCCGCAACTTAGTCCACTTAAAAAAATCAAATTTTGGAGTAAAAATATCTGCATTCTGCATAATGCCACGGTGGAATCATCATTTATCAGTTCAAAATAATTAATAACACTTTAACGAAAAATAGAATCAGGAAATTCAAAGTAGTTTCAGATATACAGAAGAGTTTTAGTGGAGTTTGTGGGCTTTTTGTTTAAACTTGGGCATAAAAAAAACTGGTGGAAGATTTAGGTCAATTTTTTTTCTTTTGTTGATTGTTTTTAAAATTTAAAATACTATTTATTTTGATAATTTCATAACCACTTAAGAAAACACGGCCTTTATTTTATATTTTTAATATAATTTTAATAATATAGTTGGATGACCGATAATTATCGGTCAACCAACATGTGATAATATTAGAAACCACCAACCGACCCATTATAAATGGGTTGGTTGAAATTTTCGACCCGGTCCAATGGGTCGGTTAAAAATTGATTATCCGCCTAAAAATATGGTCGGTAATGGGTCGATTGGTGGATAAAAACCAACCCAGTCCCAGCCCTAGTTTTGACTTCTAATTGTATCCACACATTATATTGTTGTGTGAGCATCTTCAATGGCTGTGTCACCAAATTATAAAGAACGAATGAACAATGTTTTAACACATGTTTTCGATAATATTGTCTATATATTTAACGCATTGCTCTTTGGTACTCCACTCGTTCCATTTTAATCGTCGTTTTTCAGTTTTGCAGAAAGATTAATGATTTTATCAAATGTGTCTTGATTTTAGAAAAATGTATATTTTTAGACTAAAATGACCTTATCTTTTTATTAGTAAAGGAGATAAAAGAGTAAAACAAGAATCTTGGAAAAAGGTTAATAAAACTATAAATGGGACTTAAGTAATTTTATTAAATATTAAAAATTTAAAGTGACAGATCATATAAACCAAAAAATTCTATAAAATGACTGATATTGTGGAATATACTGATATCGTGGAATAGATGTAATATCATTCTCTAATGAATTTGACTTTTTTAAATATATCTTAATTATTGAAGATAAAATGTATATATATAATAAAATAAAACATGACAATGCTTTTTCACTTTTTCAATATCAGATAGAACCTTTTGTATTACAGATTCTTTTGAAATTCTTGGTTCCATTTTAAATTAAAAAACTAACAAATTAAAAAGAAAAGTCAAAATCAAGTAAATGACTTGTTTGAATTTGGGGCTCAATCCTACGGATTGGATTGAAGTTTTTGACCTTAAAAGCTCGAAGCTTATTGTTTTATAAAATAAAATAATTAGTTTCACACTTGACAGCATGATTAAAAATTAAAAATATATTTACCAGCTTACAAAAAGGGGCCTAGTCTTGTGTGGGGGAGCTGTAGCCGGATTATAAAATGCTTCTTTTGGCTGCCACCACAAAATTAGCTAAAATAAGATTAAATAATTTAATAAAAAAATTAATTATTTTATTAGACTATATGATGTTCAATAAAAAACTCCACAAGATAAATTATAATATTATAATATTTATGGATCGACCTGTGAAATTATTGAGAATACCAAATATCAAACAAAGTTCATTTATTTAATGATAATATAGTTCAAATGCGGCTTAAAATTAATGTGAAATGACCAATAGTAGAACATGTCTAATCTATGTTACATCGAGTGAAATATACGGGATGTATCCTTATCATTCATATATATACAAACACACACACACACACACTAATATTAATGTATAGATCAACAGTAAAAAATCAGCCAGCGTAGACATAAAAATAACATAGTGGAACACAATAAAAAAATGTAAAGATAAATCATAGATTTACCAATCTAGGGTATTAGGTAAGATCTTTAAATACGCAACACAAAGTTTTTGGCCTTATTCGAAAGCTTAAAAAATAATTAACGGTGTGGCGGCGTACGTAATAAAACGCACAAACCCAGGGGCATTCACGTCAAAAAAAAAAAAAAAGAAAAAAGAAAAAACTGATGATGAGGTGTGGGACCCGCTAAAAACGACGTCGTGCAATAATAAGGGTTTCGGGTACCGTGACCGTGACAAATCCGGGCGTCAATAAATATCCATTCGGGTACTCTTATTTTCCATTTTCTGTTCTTCGTTTGTATACAGAAATAGCAAAACAGAAGATCAATACCCGCTCACTGTGTGTAGATTTGCACACACACACAGACCTCGTTTTCAGCGCTTTCTCTCTCTTCTCTCCTTTCCTTTTTCAAGCAAAGGCTGTAACCGAAAACTTTTTCTTTCATCATCAAATCTGAGGGTTTCCATTTATGGTTTTTTTTTTCTGAATTTTTTAATTTAATTTTTTAATTGGTTAAAAAGTTTAGAATGTTTAGTTCAAGAGATATGAGTGGCGAGTTTTTGAGCAGTAGAGAATTTATGGGCTCCGATTTGTTTCTGAACCAAACAACAACACAGCAGCATCAGCAGCAAAATCAGCACCATCACCCGCCGCCGCCGCATCCGCCGCCGCCGCAGGGCGGCGGCGGATTGGCTCGGTATAGGTCGGCGCCGAGCTCGTTTCTGGCGGCGCTACTGGATTCGACGGCGCCGGAGAACAGCAGCAGCGGCGACGAATCTGAGGCTATTTTCTCGGCGCTGATGGGTGGTCAGAAGAACGGCGGCGGCGGTGGTGGTGGTGTTGATGATCAGATGCAGTTTCATCAGATGAAGCAGGAAGTGGCGGTCGAATCGGAGCCCCGACCCGGATCCATGAACGGGCAAATGGGTTCTGTTGTCGGGTCTTATTCGGTGGGTATGGATAGTGGGGTTGATTTGAGAATGAATAGTAATACCTCCTCCATTAATCTTCTCCGGCAAAGCAGTTCTCCTGCTGGATTCTTCAATGGTACTACCTTTTTTTTTTTTTTTTTTAATTTTTAATAATTTAATTTGATTGAGTAATTGGTAAGAAATGATTATTGATTCGAGTAGGGTTGACTTTATTTATTTTTAGCCAATTTTTTTGGATCCGGAATATTAGGAAAGTTGGAAACAAAGAAAAGCTTAAATTAGTTTCTTGATATTTTTGGATTTAATAAATCTCACAAATATATTCTTTTCATACCTCCAAATTAATTGATGCCCTCTTTTTATTCTTGAGAATTAAGGATATATTCCATTTGAATAAATAAAATTAATCGCATATAATCTTAGCTTCATTCTTGGGAGTTATGTTTTTTTTTTTTTTTTTTTTAAATGGAATAAAATTGGTTGAAACAATTGTTTGTGTACCACAGGATTTGGTGTAATGGGAGATGTAGGAAACTATAGAGTCCAAAGTCATGCAAAACCGAATTCGTCTTCGGCGAATCATAATATGAACTTCTCTTCGGGTCCATCTTCGAGCTCGCGATTCATGCCTAGCATACCCGAAAATGATCAACTATTGAGAAATCGTAATAATAATAATAATACTAGTGCTAATAATAATAATAACGGCGGACGAGAATTCGAGGATGTTAATTTCCCTCCAGACTCATGGAATCATTCCCCACCTTTCAATAGTTTGAAGAGAAATCGAGACGGTGATCCCAAAATGTTTTCCAATTTCAACGGATTCGAAAATCAGGTACCGTTATTTATTTATTAAATTCTTTCTTTTTTGGGTTATTAGTTATAGATTATTACTAATAGATGTGTCGATTATTTTGATTAGAATGGGGAAAGTAGAAAGAATTCGTCTGGTTTGGTTCACCATTTGAGCTTGCCGAAAACATCTAACGAAATGGCAGAAGTCGAAAATTATCTGCATTTTCAACAGGACACGACTCCTTGTCAAATTCGGGCCAAAAGGGGTTTTGCTACTCATCCGAGAAGTATTGCAGAAAGGGTAATTAATTAAATAAATAAATAACAGCTCTCATTTATTTTTGGTTACCTTTATTCATTTGTTTGATCAAAAAACAAGAATCTTTTTTAGGTACGACAAACTCGAAATACATAAATAAATAAATATACGATCGATTTTTTTTTCTTCACATTCGCAGGTGAGACGGACTAGGATTAGTGAAAAGATGAGGAAGTTGCAAGATCTTTTCCCAACTATGGACAAGGTATATTTTAATTTAATTAATTTAATATAAATATAACACGCATTATTCTTGTGTTCGATTTTTTTTTTCTTTTTGTTTTGCTGAAATAATTTGTATGGCAGCAAACAAGCACAGCTGACATGTTGGACTCGGCAGTTGAGTTCATTAAAGAGCTTCAGAAACAAGTCCAGGTAATAAGAACAGATTTAAATGATAAATCCCTTTCAATTATCAACCAAAGTAATTAAAAAGAATCACATGAAATTAAATTTTCAACCAACTTTCATCTTCCCCTTGTGTGTATATATATATTTATTCATCTTTCTTTCTTTTTTTTCAGACGCTCACGGATATTAAGGGAAAGTGCATTTGTTCGAATAAACCTCAATAACGACCAATCTTACTACGTACTACGTAGTCGTTTATTTCCGAGAAAAAGAAAACGAAAAGAAAAACAGAAATTTATTACAACCTCGGAAGATTAGAAGATTGATTCGAACAAGAGAAGTGGCAAATGTATTGTTCTTTGGGGTTGTAATATTTTAGTGTATGATGATCTATAGGTAGTTTTTGCTCTGTAGTTTTAATGAATAATTTATGTATAGGAAGTGATTTAGGCTTTTTTAAGCCTGTATTTTGTTGTACCTGATTGTGTTTTAGTTGAGAACAAATATTACACTTTATTGAAACAATGGTTTCCTTTTTTTTTTTCTTTTGTCTTTTTCTTCTTTTAATTTTATGAAAATATATATATTTTTTATAGAAGTTATTATATCCTAATATCCACAATCTATAAATGGTTTTAATTTACATTGAAATGTTCGCTAAATCAATCTAATTTGACTTGTTTATATATGTTTGCCTAAATATGAAAATAAAATATGTTCGGCCCCTCTTCATAAAAGTTTTAATGCATTTCGCCAATGCGAAGTAAAATTGTGGTTCCCCTAGTGGTTATAATGTGAAATCTATGTATTTGATTTAATGGACATTCATATCAAAATATTGTATGAATGTTGATTTTGTTAGTGTAATTTGAATTTCAATAATAATAATCTTATTATATAGTGTTATACATATTTATTATTACAATTTTTATTTTTCATTTATTTGTATAATTGTTTTTTTCACTTCTATGTTTCACGGGGAGAAATACTAGTAGATTATAATTTTAATAATCACAATATCGAATTGGTTTTTGATATTTTTAATATTTATTTATGATTTAGTCCGTGGGGCTTCCGTCTTCCTCAAGTCACCTTGGTCCGTACTCCGGTGGTGGTATCTGCAAAGCCGGGAGGGATTCCCGGCGGGAAAGCTCCGACGATCAAATCAGTGATCGGAAAAGATGAGTATATGTGTAATGTAATAGTAGATAATGTATTTTTCGTTTGTGTGTGTGTGTGTTTAATGGTCCTTCTATTTATAGATGAGGAAACCTTGGCCTCCAAGGTTTCCTTTTTCAGGGTTTGCTCCCCCCTCAAGTCAAGTGTTTTGGGCCTCTCTTATTGGGCCTGCTTTAGGTCATGCTCATACTGGAATATGAGTCATGGTGTTGCCAGCTCATCATTCGGAGGTCGCGGTCCGTGTCAGTGAATTAACTCTTCTCAATTTGTATTTATTCGTCTCGTCACAATGGCCCGTATCAATTTAAAAATGTCCCTTTCCTGCTAACAAGGTAAAAGAAAATGTCCAAATTAAAGTATACCACCTCTAAATATGAGTCTTCTGAAAATAATTTGGGAATTGTTTCAAAGTTAGAGAGTATTATAAAAACTCATGGGAACATTTCATATAGTTAATTACTTTCTAGGATGCACTTAAATTTTTTACAGAATGATTAGAGACTGTATGACTAAATCAATCATCATCATGCATTACACTTGGAGTAGTATAAGTACGAATAGACCGACCCTAACAAAGCTTAACGAGGAAAATATAAATCGGAACTGATATTTGAAATGAATCGTGTTTGAAATTATTTTTTTGAAATACAAAATTATAAATACTAAAAGGAGTATATAATACATAATTGTAGATATTAGAATTTATTTTGATATTTTTACTATTTTAAGTAAAAATATATGGTCCGACCACGAAATTCTTGTGACATTGCATGTGCATGTTGTCTGGAAAAGAACTCCCCGTGATAGGCTCCACGACCGTTCCAACGATCCATGAATGACAATATCCAAGAATTTATTGAAATTTGACAGACGGAATTGAACAATCTTACCAATAACTTTATTACTTTCCAAACATTTTTCTTTGCCTCCACTTATAACTCAAGAACGCAAATAAAGTGTACCAATCGTTGGTTGACTCAACACAAGCAACGATTTTACATTTCAAAACGCGCTAGCCCGATAAGACTTCCATATCTTTTCACAAGCTCCAAGGACACGACCAAAAAACAATAGATTCAAGAATGTTGTTCGACATGATGTCATGGGCAATGAAAATACTCAACGAACAAATATTATGATTATCTTTGGGGAGCATGCCTATATTTTCTTGGACTCTGCAGTCTCCCGTGTGACGGCCCAGCCCCTCCACCGTCTTCGTCTTCGTCTTCGTCTTTGAAATTGCAATTTGTATTTGAAATTCAAATTTTCGAGTTTCTATCAATGGTGGGAAATTTGTTTTAAAAAAATTGAAAACATTTATTTTTGAAAAAAATAATGTCTTTATCTATGATACATGTTGAAGGAGTAGGGGTGAAAATCAGAATGAAATTTCCAGATTTCGCCAATTACAATTGAAAAACATCCGAGTAGGGAACTGTATTTTTTATTATGATATATGAAGTTTCGATTTTCGATTTCTCCTAATCTATTTGGATTGAAATCGGAATTTTATGTAAAATTACCGAAAAATTCGATTTTCGATCCAATTTTGATTATGAATATTTTGATTGTATTTCAAAAAATATAATATAATTTTATGATATATTTTGTAATTTCATAATATAATTTACGTTATATTTTAAATGAAAACTTTAAATACCAAATGATTAAGTAAATTAAAATTTTAGAAAAAAATGATTGGCATCAGAAACTCTTTTGTTGCATTTTTTCTTAGTAAAAAATCTATGTTTTATGTTGTTTTTCCTACATGTGATTTTATTCATTGCATTTTGTTGAACTCTCATTTGGATTTTCTTGCATTTTTCTGCAAAATTTTGAAAAAGATCGAAATTTATTGTGAAATTCCGATCATATCCGAATTTGAAACCAGAAATTTTAAATTAATGTAATTTTTAAAATTTTCGAAATTCCACCTATCCCGAGGCATTGAAACTCATTTTAGGCATTGAAACTCATTTTCTACTTTCTAAAAAAGCTATTTATGATCCATTATATCTGATTTCCACCCATATACATAGGGGTGCAAGTTGGAACGGATTTTCCAATTTCCGCCGGTTCCGATCCGAAAAGTTCCGATTTTGGAACAACTTTTTTCATTCCAACTTCCGAAATTCCGATTTCCGAAATTTTCCGATTTTTTTGGATTGGAATTGGAATTATATAAAATAAATTTGGAATTTCCGATTTCTGATCCGATTTAATTCCGAAATTAATTCCGATTTTTTTCCGAAAAATACACCTATAAATAGTATATATTATTTAATACTTATTTTCCCGAAAAATACACCTATAAGTTTTGTTTTAGGATTTTGACATAATGAATTGTTGTTAGAAGTTTTATTGGATATTGCTGTGTTTATTTTTATTTATTTTTTTGAACTGAAATTTAGTAGTTATTAGTTTTATTTTTATCAACGTGGATGCTCTTATTTTCCAAAAATTATGAACATTTTATTAAATTTCGGCTAAGTTTTGAAATTTTAAAGCTTATGTGATTTCCGATTTTTTTTCGAAATTCCGAAATTTCCGGGCCTTTTGGAATTGGAATGAATTTTTAGATTCCGAAAATTCTGGAATTGGAATTGGAATTGATTTTGTACTTCCGAAATTTTTTGGAAATTTTCCGAAAAGGCTAATTCCGATCCGATCCATCCGACTTTCACCCCTACATATACATGACGTTCAAGTTTTCAAAATTAAATTCAAGAAAAGAATAATACTTATTTTCATATATGCAAGGAAACCGAGAGTCCCTAACAGACCGTTAAGTCACAATTATTTACATTTCTCTATCAAATAATTGTCGGCCTAAAAAATGGGGTACTGGGGGCAAAAAGATTCGCCTTTTGGTACAAGGAAAAAGAGTATTTTCAAAAATTTCTACGAAACTAATTTGATGTTGCAATTTAGACGGCGAAATAAAATAAAATTTATTTTAGGAAAAGATGAAAAATATTTTGAAAATGGCGCAAATATCTCACAATTAACTATGTAATTAGTCGTTTACCTTTCTTGAAAGAGAAATAGCTGTTTTCAAACAATTTCCTATTTATTTTAGGACAAAACGCACTTCATCGCCTATAAATTTTTTATTTTCGCATTTTATTCCTTCAAAAATAAAAAGTAATACACCCCCTTCAAAATATTATTTTGATTATATTTGCTTCATAAGCCAATTTTTTTGAGGTCACTGTGTACAAAAATAACATTTTAAAGGGGTAACGTGCAAAATAATAGTGTTTTAAGGGGGCAACGTGCAATAAAAATAATATTTAAAGGGGCAACGTGCAACAAAAATACTCAATTCCGATGAATAACCCATCGGAATTTTGCTATCGGGACAATGTGCAATAAGAATAACATTTTGAAGGAAGACATCTCTTTTTAAAAAAAAAAAACATTAGGGGGTAAAGTGCATAAATTTGAAATTTACAGGCGGTGATGTGCAATTTCCCCTTTATTTTATTTTTTTTAAAGAGAAAATGAGAAAGAGAAAAACAACCTATAATTCTGTATGTAATGGCGGCTACTCCGAGTCTCCGACGAAGTCAAAGTCAACTATTCAGAGCTCATACATTTCCTCCTCCTTCTCCCCTCTTTTTATCTATCCACCGATTTAGAAAGCTACGTATTTGAAATCGACCGGTCTCGTTTTTTCCCCTTTTTGATCGGCCGATCGCGGTATCGGAATTCCGGCGGCGGCGCGTGGAGTTTAGGGGGGAGGAGAGATGTCGAATTCATACGGAGGCGATTTCGGCAACAAAATCGACTACGTATTCAAAATCGTACTGATCGGCGATTCGGCGGTGGGGAAATCTCAGCTACTCGCTCGATTCTCGAGGAATGAGTTCAGTTTGGACTCAAAAGCCACAATCGGAGTTGAATTCCAGACGCGAACCACTACCATCGATCACAAAACCGTCAAAGCTCAGATTTGGGATACCGCCGGCCAAGAGAGGTACTCTATTTTTCTTATTTTTTTTTTATTTTCAGTATATACATTTTTTTTCAATTAATCGCGATTTATTATTATTATTATTATTATTTTATTTTTTTGTGGAGAATTAGCTAGGTGATAATTTTTCTTCTGCAATGGAATTTAGTTTTCTTGTTATACATTTGGAGTAGACTTTTGTTGGAAATTTAATATTGATCTTAGTACAAAATTCGAATCTTACATCATCTTGTTACAGCAATGAGTCTCGAGTGAACTTGCTTGAGGCAATTAATTACTATTATCACTCTTTTTGATTAAAATCCGATTATGTTTATTTATACACTGTGTATTGTTAGCATGTTATTTTGTGATCATAGGAAGGTCGGGTATATATTTGTTTCCTCTTCATCATGGGCGAAAACTGGAGATGACTTGAAATATCCGTTAGCTGTTTTTTTTAGCAGTAATTCTACGTTTGATGAATATCGTAGAAGCATTTCAACAATGGCGTCAATCCTTTTCTAATGCATGAATTAGGAAAAAAAAACATTTTAATTGACAATAGCCATATGTGTAGCCTCATCCATAGTGCAAGAATTCGTTGGAAGTTGATGAACGCTACCGCACCGTGATTAACATATACCTATGTGATTTTAGCATGTAAAAATTCAACGAGAAGATGAAATAGCTTGTCAATCAATATATCATTTCGAGTATATTAATATTTAATAACATGCAAGGGAAAATACTATGTTTTTTAATCGAATTAAAATAAAATTTTCAACTCAGATACATACTTTAAACATATTAGATTTCATTTGCATTGATGAATTTGATAGGTTCCAAGAATTCCACGTCACAATTTCAAAATCTTGAACTGTATTTCGCCCTGTTTACTATACATATTTGCATATAGATCCTTAAAACTTGCAAATCCTAGGAATGTAGTTTCCGTAGGGTGCACAGGGAAACCGGAAGTTGGTAAAATCAACCGAAAGAGAATATTTGGTTTGAATTAAAAAGGGACCGAAAATTGGTTTTTGTCTGAGAAGAAAGAAATGTCAGGGGAATTTTGTTGATACAAAGGTAGATATCAATATATCATATACGAGTGGTCTTTTTCCTTCATTTCATGTTGCCCTAAAAAGGAAATCACTGTAATTCGCTCATATTACTCCCAAACAAGCAACGGTAAGTAAGTAACTGACGATAATCATTTTATATATTTCTAGTTATAAAATGATCAAGATCGGAGTGTGAAATAATATATCATTGACCTGGAAAATTCTTTAGACTCGTTTCCCGTTATACTTTTTTAGATTCAGTCCCAACAGCTTATCCTGCGAATCGAGTTTATAATTGCTGAATATTTGTGCACTTGGATGAGTTCAGATATAGAGCAGTGACAAGTGCGTATTACAGAGGAGCTGTTGGGGCAATGCTAGTTTACGATATCACGAAACGGCAATCGTTCGATCACGTAGCCAGGTGGCTGGAGGAATTGCGTAGCCATGCTGACAAGAATATTGTGATTATGCTTGTGGGCAACAAATCCGACCTCGGAACTCTTCGAGCTGTATCTACCGAAGATGCTAAAGATTTTGCGCAGAGGGAGAACCTTTTCTTTATGGAAACATCAGCACTTGAGGCCACAAATGTTGAGCCGGCTTTTCTAACTATTTTGACCGAAATTTATCGAGTTGTCAGCAAAAAAGCTCTCGTTGCAAATGAAGCAGAGTCGGGAGGAAATGAATCCCTTTTGAAAGGGACTAATATTGTTGTTCCTGGACAAGAATCGGTACCTTCCGGGAGCAAGTCCACCTGTTGTGGATCTTCGTAGGTCTTTGTAATGTTCCATTTTTTTAATTTTTTTTTTACATTTTAAGGAATTGTAATTTTGGACGAACTGTTATGTGTTATGCATTTAATTGGTATTGCATCTTGTATTTGGACACAACCCCAACATTTAAAGGGTTAAATAATAAATTCCACTTTGTACTGTCAATTTTCATAGTTTTCCTCCTTTTTAATATATAATAACATTTTCATAATAATTAGGGCAGACGTTAATTACCTATATACATCCTTCAATTTATGAATTTAATATTTGTAATATATGCAAACAGGCGGCTCCTATCGAAATACACTATATATTTTTTCTCAATAAATAAAATACAATTACTCCAACTTAATTTCTCAACATTAAAATCCAATATAAGTGACAAACAAACCCCACAACTAATCTCATATACATAGGTCTTAAATTACAATCATTCTTGAATACATAGGGGATGTTTGTTTTTGTTTCCAAAACACAATTTCCAGTTTTATACTATTCATAAAATCGAGATCATGTTTGTTAGATAATTTTATCCAGAAAATCCCATTTTTTCTTATCAAATTTCTATTAAAAATAAACTATTCATATTTGCACTTGAAATACTTTTAAAATTCAAATTTCCCCTTCTAATTTTTTCAATTTTAATAAAAGTTCCTAACATATATTTTTCAATGGTTTATATTTTGCAGAGGAGAGTGTGGGTAAAGACTGTAATATTGAACTTGGAGCAAATTCTTGTATTAACGACGCGACATGTAGGGTTAAGTGCATCCCATTAAGCTACACATCTAGTATGTGTTTGTTTGGAGGGCCCAAGCCGCGACAATGCACTTGTTTCAAAACGAATTGCTAGTGAAAATTAATTTTTCTAATTTATCTCGGTATATGTAGTTTTATTATACCATTGTATTGAGTTTTGAATAAATGGAATAAATATCGTCTCGTTTTAAATTGAAAAAAAATATATAGTTTCTATTTTGCATATTGCGTGACTGTTAATCTTGTGGAACCATGTTATGAGAATTACAAAAGTGAAAAAATAAAATATAAATAATAATTGTATATCGTCCACATGTAATTTATTTTTAATTATTTTATTTGGTTCGACCGACCGAGACTTCATAATTGATTAAAGAATTTTATCATTATATATTCAACATTTCAATTTTTTGGACCAATTATAAAATAATATTCGAATTCCTTTTTATTTTTTTATTTATTAACGAATTATGTCAAGAATCTCGTGACTAAACTATACAATTGGCCATAATAAAATTATAAGTATCATATATTGGCTAATTTACTTCTTGAAATATTTAAGGGCCTTAAGAATATATGGCTTAATACTATGATAATTCTAAGATATATTCATAAACCAGATTATACTTACAGAAGTGACACTGTTCTTGGAAACTCTCTTAAAAGAAAACGACCATTTGCTTATTCGGTCAAATCTATTTAGGTGGTGTTTGCAAATAATTATTTAAAAGCAGAAGTTAGTGACTGTGAGTTAAGTCAGTTTTAAGTGCTTATTTCTAAAAGTTGGGGGTGTTTGCAAATATTCCGAAAAATGAACTTAAATAGAAAAAACAGAGTTATGGGTGCTTTTAAAAAAATAGCTTAAAGAAGATTATTTTAAAAGAAGCAAAAGCAAAAGTTGATTTTGCAAATACCTGAATACAGATTATGAACAAAAAAAACTTTTGCAAACACCACCTTAATAGTCCATCAAATATGTTTTATGTTTCACTTTAGTCCCTCTCGTCTTTAAAATGCACTATTTCATCCCTCATCACTTAAACTTGTTCCAAAGTGATACTTACTCTACTATTAAGTCAATAAATAACAGAATCATTAAAAAGCAAATGGAATATTCCATGTGTTAAGGGTACGTTTTTGTGAAACAGGGAAAATACAGAAATCATAAAGAAATTTTTTTTAAAATATATTTTCCTTTCGCAAGGGTATTCCATATTATAAATCTGTTTCTATATGTATACGTCTCAATGTATATATAGTATACATGATTAGTTGAAAATAAATTAAACATCCCTTTTTAGTTAGAAATTTACTTTATATTGGTTTGAATGATAATCAAATAATTCTTTTACGTCATAACCAAATAATTATACAATGGTTAATTTAAAGTTGAGGACTAAAGTGGTATGGTTTATTCTATGCTACATCGGGTAAATCTTTACCATTTATATATACACAAACATATAAATACATATACACATTGGTAAATCTTTACCATTTATATACACACAAACACATAAACACACATACACATCGGTGTGTGTATATCAACGATAAAAAATCAACTGGTGAAATCTTCACCGAGTGTAGCACATAAATAACCAATTGGGACTTAATGTATACTTGAGAATTGAGATAATATTAAAAATATTTGACCTTCATTTAATTATGTCACTACAACAAAATATGCTTATAAGGACACAAATAAACGTCCCAAAATATACCATATTGAGGCACTTATAGTTTTAGGGGCAAAAAAACTATGTGTCGCGTAGTTGTGTGTCGCAATAGCCCATGGGACACTTACTTATGCCCTTAAAACAAATTCCTTTCGAGACACTTATATATGTCCAAATAGACTATTTTTGAGACACAAATATATGTCTCCTAAATATATAATACGTGTAACAAATAAATTGTGTTGGGACACTTATTATAGAGAAGGGATATTTATATGTGTCTCCAAAAGTTATTAATACCACATTTATAACTGTCTCTTAATATACTTATAAGGACATTTTTTAATATCCTCTTAAAATCTTATCGGCACGATTGTTTTTAAATTGAATAAATTTTACAATATTTAAAATTATTCCAATAAATATTACAGGATGCTCAAAATTCTTATTAAATGGGTAAAATCAAATGTCGTAACTAATTTTTGGAATATCATATGATAGTATTCAAACTAAATTTCAAATCCATATGCACAATTTAAATCATACTATAAATACACTTTAAAAATGCATAGAAATTAAACGTGCATATAACAAATAAAAAATTAACATTCAAAAGTTTCAACAATGAAGGCAAAGTTTTAGTATAATCAATCTCCAAAGAATAAAAATATTCAAAGATGAGGGAAATTCTCTAGCAAAACAATAGTGAAGACGAAATCTTGAATAAAATTCAGCGTCCTAAGTTATTTGAAAAAAAAAAAAGATGAAAAACATCGTGTTACCAAATCATTATATGCTCGCACTACACTACGAACTCAAATTATGATTCAACCCCCATCGCCTTGATTTTATTAATAATAAAATTCATCATCCAAAGCGACCTGCATGTACACAAATATATATTAATTATAAAGAAATAGTAAAATATTATCATCATTCAGACAAATTTACTACATATATCAACAAATTCATTCACCATCCGTAAAGAGAAAAGAGTAGAATAATAAAAAGACTACCAAATCAACTAAACCTATGAAAAGAAAACCAATAAATAAAATAGATTTAAAAAAAAAATTAAATCAATTGTCTATGTAAAGAGAACCATTCACTCTGCATGAAATCAAACTCTTGCCGACAATTATATTCCTATTTTTTAAGGTCACCATCAATGTACTTAAAAATTCAAAATTGTAAATTGAAAAAACTGATCTAGTGGTAGTTATATTTCATTGTACTGTTCATGGTTGAATTCAAGAGCATATAAAAAATATTCATGAATTTGGTCCATTTAAGTATCAATATTATGTAAGTAAAGCAAAACTAAAATATTTACCAACAAACATTAACTAACAGAGATAACAAGTTCAATCTATATCTCCCAATAAGTTAATATTAAGCATCAACAAAAGACGATAATGTAGATATAAAAACAAGTTTAAGATGTTAAGGATCAAATAGACATACCAATGATATGGGCCAAGCAACTGGTACTCCGATAGCATTTTCAATGGTTTGAATATGATTATAGGGTAAAACTAATCTTGCATCTTTGTTTACCGGATATTGAATGACAACTTGGCAAAAGTCGGGCCCCAAATCTATTCCATTTACGATGATATGGTCCATCTTGTCCACTATACCAGTTGCCACTATTTCATTCATATTTGCAAGACTTTTCAAAACAACATAAGAACCACCCTATGAACGAGTTTTTGATAATTAGTGCATCAAATATATACAAAAAATTATATATATGTTAATAATAAATTACATGTTATATTTTTGTTACCTTGATAGACGTAGAAAGTGAACTTGTTCTAAATGAGTGTTCCTCATTTGAAACTGATAACGAAGGACTTTGAGCACCAACTTGCTCACTTAAGAATGCATTAGGAACATAACAAGAATCATCTTGTTCATTTGGAGTCGCGATTGGAGATTTTTCAGGAGCAATTTCCTGTTTAACCCATTTTTATATACTTTTGTAGACCTTGGTTTATCCATCCAACTCTTATCCATTACGACCCTACTAAAATAAAATATTGCACATTAACAACAAATAAACATGTGAACTGATACTCATATGAACTGAAAGATGTGCTTAAAGTAATAATAATTTCCATGACATAATAATATAAAACAAAAGGGCTGGGAAGAAAGTAATAACAAACCTTTTTCGTCAGACTTATAAACCAAATAATTATTACGGTTTCCGTTTGCGACTTGTAACAAGATAACACAAATCG